GTTGCTGTGTGCCCTTGTCTCACGAGTGACAGTCACCCGTTTTGCCTCCGTCATGTTGCCTGTTGGGTCAACGACACCTTTGACCCGGAGTCCTGCGAGTCGTTTTCTCTGCTTATGCTCCAGTTTTATTTAGATGATGTTGCTGTTAGAGTACTGGCAGCATCCGCATTGCATGTTAGGTTTAGGTTACTGCAACGCGCTAGGTTGGTTTCCCACCCGAATGCCCTGAGGCTGCCCCGTTTTGGTTTTAGGGACCCGGACCTGGGGTGTTACTCGCTTTGACTTTGGCTCCTTATGTGCTCCCTGGTCCTTCCCCTGTTGTTCATCCTGCACCTCCTTCCCTGTGTTGTCTCCCAAATGTCTGAGGGTTTCAATTTCAGCATAGGGTTTAGTTGATAATGAGACTCAGGCAGCTTCGGGGACTGCCCCATTTGGGTCGGAGACAGGCATTTGAGCCAGTTCCTCCTGCCGAGGCTTCTGGGTCCAACCAGCAGGCCCCCTTCTTGTCTGCCTTTCCCCTGGACTCTGCCTTTTCTTCAGGGGTAGAGGGTTTGGAGGACAGCTCTGCCCCAGGTCCTGACTTGGGAGTCTTGGGGCTGGGGGGGAGTCAACCTGGGGGCCTTGGGCTCCTTTTGACCCCGCTTGGATGCTTTTGCCTTCCTCGCGGGGCTTATTGTTGCAGGGAGAGGGTTTTCTTACCCCTCCTTCCCTGTATGAGTATGATTTGGGTTCGGTTCCTCCTTGGGTTTGGTTCTGGGTTTCTTTGGGTACCTCGCCTCCGTCTATCCAGAGGTTTTCTACTTCCCGTATCTCCGTGAAGGAGGCTCGGGAGGCTCTTGCAGCATACCTCTTGCGAGACCCGGTTTATGCCTCTGTGATGGATCCGTCCTCTTTTGAGTTCGGTTCTTCTTCCCGCTTTTGGGTGCGTTTGGAGGTTCCGGAGTCTTCCTGGCTGGCAGAAAACCCATTCTTTTGGTTGGGGGCGTGGCATGGGTTCTGTCGGACTCGCACGCTTGATTGGCATACAACTTCTATGGTTCTGCAGGTTTACCTGGGGCGAGTTTGAGCACCTTAATGTGTGCTTGTTCGCCCCCATCCTTTCTCGGGATGTTGGTCTCTTCCAGCTTCACATGCAGCTTCCTCTTCTTTCGGTATCGTTGGTTGCAGAGGATTTGCGTGGTTGTGGGCATTTGGCTTCGGTCTTACGTTTCTTTTCCCTTCTCGAGCTGTCTTCTGCCTGGCTTGAGGAGAATGTGGAAGCATTGAGTGACAGGTCTTCGTCTGGGGCGCTGACTTCGGTAGCTAGGGCGTCAGCTACACTGTTGAAGCTCTTTGCGCCAATCCTGAAGGAGACGATTGCTTTTTCTGTGGGGAGGCCCTACAGCTTCCTGGAGCTTATCGAGCTAATGTATGTTATATTAGACCGGGATATTAGCTAAGGAGTTCAGACCTACCAGGGACCAGCGCCAGAACCTGGCCCCTTCAGAGAGGTTTCAGGGGGTAATGGCCCTGGAAAACCCCCTTGTGGTTGGGGTTTTCCTTATCTGCCATCGACCGGGGTTAGCACCCAGAAAGGTAGGCATAACCTAACAAACCCCACATGGTAAAAACTAAAACAAAAATCGAAGAGAGGTAGAAACTCCCTACAATCCCAAGGAAACAAGCAAACATCACACTTTACTGCCACGCCGATCGTCCGTGCAGCCCTCCACACCCCGAGAGGGGGAGGGGGGAGCCCCGGACCTACGGCGCTGGCTGCCTAGCATCAGTTCGGAAGCTAATGTCAACCGGGATAGACGCTTCTCTGGCCTCAGTTTCCTAGGCAGTGTTTGCCTTGTGTGGCGTTCACTGCTGTGTGTTGTGTTGTGCGGTGGCCAGGAGTACCTCATCAGTGCCGTGGCTGCATGCACTTAGGGGCTTCCTTCCCTAAGTGCCCTGTGAGTACTGCCCTTGTGTGACATGGTTATCTTCCCTGGGGCATTCGGGAACCATTCCCGTAGACATTCTTGCTGTTCGGTATTTGCCTCGCCCTTGGGGCCAGCTGGGGCTTGAGGCCCTTGATTGGCCCTGGGAAGGGACTGGTATTGTGCTGGTTAGGGCGTCAAGGTATTGTGCGACCTGCCACCTAAGCAGCGACCGGTTCCTGTTGCCTCTGGAGACAGTGTACTTTTGTGAGGTTTTTCTTTTGTTTTCATTTTCATTTGCCTGGTGGGGGTCTGCCTAGTGTGGTTATAGTTCCACTGGTAGTGTTTGGTGGCCCTCTGCTAGGCCCCCGTGATTGTACACGTCACAGGGGTTTTCAGTGTTGTCCTCTACCCCCTTGTTATTTTTGGGTGTTTAACCAGTTAGCAACACCTTGCCCGGGCTTCCCGTAGTTGTTACCCCTACGGGCCCTGGAAACCCCTATCGGGGCTCGGGGGACCATTGAATATGTCTTCCGGGTTCCAACCCGTCTTGTACGAGATCGTTGGTTGCTGTGCCCTTGTCTCCGGGTGACAGTCGCCGCTTTTACCTCCGTCATGCTGCCTGTTGGGTCACTGACACCTTGACCCAGAGTCTTGCGAGATATATTCTCTGCTTGTTCTCCAGTACTCTCCTGATGTTATTACTGTTCAGAGTACAGGTGGCATCCGTGTTGCAAGCTAGGTTAGGTTGCTGCAACACGCTAGATTGGTTTCCCACTCGGATGCCCCGGGGCCGCCCCGTTTTGGTTAGGTGCTGTTCGCCCCTTTCCCTCCCTGTTCCCAGCTCTGGACCGTCTGTGGGTTTTGGGGTTGGGGCCGAGACTTGGGCGGTTTTCAGGGGCTGCCTGTTCGGGTTGGGGACGGAGATTTTCGAGCCTTTTCCTCCTGCCAAGGCTTCTGGGTCTTACCAGAGGCCCTTTCTTGCTGCCTTTCCCATGGACTCTTTCTTTTCTTTAAGGGAGGAGGGCTTGGAGGACGGCTCTGCCCTGGGGCCTCTGTTGCTGGTTCCCGGGGCTGTGGGGGATGCCTGCTAGCAGTTCTGGGGCGGTTTGCCCCCGCCTGGGTTTTCTGCTCCTGGGCAGAGTTTTTCGCCTATCCTGTGTGCTTACTTCCCACTTTTGCTGGCGTGTTTCGTAGATTTTTGCGTCGGTCACAGCCCTCTGTTCTGGTGGCCTTTTTCTTCTGCCGGTTTCCCGGTGTGGCCACCAGGGCGGTGTTGCGGTTTGTTTACATGCGCCTGGGTGTGCGAGCGAGCGTCTTGGGTGAGTTTTTCAAATGTCGTGTCTGCTTAAATATTTCCGTTATTTTTTTACTTGTTTTATAGTGTCGTCTGCGTTCTTTTTCTATGTTGGACCTCTTTCTGTCTTTCCTCAAAGGAAATGTTTCAGACAGACTTCATATGCTTCGGAAGGCAGTTTTTTCTATTCCTTCTGTAGGACTTGTATTACTTAAAACAGTTTCCCATGAAATGTTTGTAAGTTCCCTGTTTATTGTCTCCTAGTCTATCTTTATATTATTAAAATTGAATTTACCGAATAACCCCTCTCGCTTGATTAATGTTTTAGGTCTATTCTGAGTATTGATGGTAGTTCGCACTTCAATGAACTTGTGATCTGAGTATGTGGTATTTGAGATCATAATGTCCCTGATTATGTTCAGGGACATAATTAGGGACATAATTACCAAAGCCAAAGGGTTTGGCTTTGAATGGAATACAGGTTCCTCCAGTTCCACTCTTTGCACTGCTGCAGGGACCCTCAGGTTTGAGCCCATCTTGCCCTTCATTTGCACTTGGTTTGCTGTCTTCCTCTTCAGGCTTTTTTGGGGCTCGGTTCTTGAGGTTATCTTGAAATGATTTTGGGGCTTAGTGTCCCCGCGGCCCGGTCCTCGACCAGGCCTCCACCCCAGGAAGCAGCCCGTAGCAGTTGTCTAACTCCCAGGTACCTATTTACTGCTAGGTAACAGGGGCATCAGGGTGAAAGAAACATTTTGCCCATTTGTCTCCGCCTCCACCAGGGATCGAACCCGGAACCTCAGGACTATGAATCCTAAGCGCTTTCCACCCAGCTGTCAGGCCCCATTAGGTTCTGTAGTGACATCTTCCACCATCACTCGATGTGTTCATGGATACCTTCAACTTTATCGTTTGTAAAGACCAGATCTAAAATATTTTTGTTTCTCGTTGGCTCCAATATCTGCTGGTTGAGTGAAAACTTGTCACCGAATCTAAGCAGTTCTCAAATCTGTGGTTGGTTTTGTCCCGATAGATTTCCTGGTATAATAATATTGTTTGCTATTCTCCTTTTTAGATTAGGCAAGTTGAAGTCATTTAGGAAGATAATATCAGGTATCGGGTTTGCCAAATTATCAAGGCTATTCTCTATTTTGTTTATCTGTTCTGTGAATTCCTCAGCTGTTGCATCTGGCGGTTTGTATATTAGAATAATAACTAAGTGTATTTTCTCTATTTTTACTCTCAGTACCTCTACCACCTCATTTGTAGAGCTAAGGAGCTCCGAGCATACAAGGTCTTCCCTAATATACAGACCCACTCCTCTTCCTTTACCCTATCACATCTGTATAGATTATATCCTGGTATCCAGATGATCTCACTGTCCAACAATTCCCCAGCATGGGTTACTGTGAAAGCTCCGAATACTGCATTTGACTCCATGAGGAGGCCATTTATGAATGGTACTGTGTTTTTGTTCTTGTTTTTAGTCCTTGTATGTTGGTAAAGATGAATGAGGTTATTCTATTAGGGATAGTTTGACTGGGAGACTTTTCTGGCAGGTCCATTATGTATGGACATGTTGAGTTTGTTCGGCCCAGTGCTGAATGTTGTAGGGCAGTTGCCTTTCATAGTTGTAGTTCCTTCGAGAATGTTCTTTACACTTTTGTTATTAGAATTATCATAAGTTTAATTATACGCTTGTGCTCTACCTGTATTTTCTATATTTTATCAAAATTCTAAGTGTAGTCTTCACAGTTTCAGTTTTAAAGAAATTCCTAAGATATTTTTTTCCTTTCTTACAGGATGTTCATCACGGGAATGGCACCCAGTCGATGTTTTACGATGACCCGCACATTCTGTACATTTCCATGCATCGCTACGATGATGGTAGTTTTTTTCCCGGCACCGGTGCTCCCACGGAGGTGACTTTTTTTACAGTGCATCTCTCTTTATAAACCATCTGCTGCATGCTCTGGTTTTTCTTACATGAGATATACATGCAATTGATTTTGCTCTGTTGAATCTTGAAGGGATACAAAATTATATATTTTAATTATATATAATATAATAAGCAGTATTAGTAGATTTTTGAAACGGTTTATCTTGTAGATATATGTTAATTATTTTGATTCAAAGAGTTAGATCAATGCTTTTAGCAAAACTCCTCTCCTATACTTATGTTCTTCTTCCCTTGGAAAGGAAACTAAAATATGAACTTTCTAGTTTCAATCTTACACTTTTAATGATAAATGTCCCCAAGTACACCGTAGCAAAATGCGTCAGGTCGATTAAAAGTATAAAATATACTTTGAAAGGTTTATTTAATATAAATATAGAGAAGATTTGTGCTGGAATCATTGATCTCACCCTTTTGGTCTTATTCAAGAACACATATCCAAAAATATACTAATAATATATGTAATGGCTGCTGCACCTACTAATAAGTTTTAATTCAATAATTTCAATGCTTACAGGTTGGTGATGGCGACGGTTATGGATTCAACGTAAATATAGCTTACTCAGGTGGTCTCACTCCTCCAATGGGTGATGCTGAATATATGGCTGCTTTTAGAAGCATTGTTATGCCAATTGCCAAGGTAAGAAACCTTTAGATACAGATATTGGTGTAAAATATAATGTTAAAGCATGTATAATATAGTACTGAAATTCAATAAATTATGCTGTGTTGGTATTTCTTTGAAACATCACATTGAGAGACAAGGTTCCATCCCTCAATAGGTATTGGCTGATAGGATATTATTAAGTATTATCAGAAATCAATTGAAGGACAACGTATGGAGTTAGGTTATAATATGACCAGGTTCCAACAGCTAATGCAAATTCAGAGATCATATATGTTTCCGAGAGGAGCTCCTTGGTGGCTCCCTGAAGCTATCTTGCTGAGAGGGCTTCTCAATACTGGGTTATATTAATCCAAGCCTCAATCCAAATCTCAAGTTGGGCATGCCGGGGACCAGAGCCAGAACCTGACCCCTTCCTCACAGAGGCACATAGGGAGGGAATTATCAGGGGAAAGAACCAAGCTATTGTGACCTTATAATACTTGGAAGGGGTCAGGATAAGGATTTGGGATGAGATGGGGGGAGGGGAGGAATGGTGTCCATCCACTTGGACGGTAGGGGGATTGAATGCCGACCTGCATGAAGCGAGACCGTTGTTCTACCGTCCAGCCCAAGTGGTTGGATAAGAGGCACAAAGCACAGGGTATTATTATTGTTACCATCACCAGGTAAAGCCTCAAAGTCAGCAAAGCTTTACAGACAACTACAAGGTTCGTAGAAAGTGAAGCATCGAAATGGTTTAACAGCCGAACTAAACAACTGGTTCACTTTTAACCAGCTCAAAACCCATGAGGTTAGTACCAATAACAAAGTACCAATGTGTTTAGTATCAATAGTTGCCACCAAACTGCCTGGAGCCCCAGCCCACAGCTGTTCCCAATGGTCAGTTCTGTTGTTGATATGGTTGACACCACTTGCAGTGTTCCTCGTGTCTACCTTAGTAGTGGGTCATCTCCCCACAACCTACTGTGGTATTGGTTCACCCCCCCCCCCCCTCCCGTTCTGTTGGGATCAGTGGTGTCAGGTCAAGAGCTCCCTTCAGCTCTGTGCAGTCATTGCTATGTGATTGGATTCGGGCGTAATGGAGTTAACTTCATCTCTTTGGTGGGTGTTCCGGTTGTTCCCGGTCCCAGTGTGGAAGTCTGCAGTCCTATGGTACATTCTTGACATCCTGGGACTGAATAGCTTCAGTCTCTGTCCAACCTTCTGCATGATTACTTTATATCGGGTTCACCTTGTATTACAGGTGGATTCCTGGGTGATTTCCCTGGATCTCAAGGATGCATACATGTATCAACTTATTCATCTAAGGTCTAGGACTAGTTAGGATTTGTTGTGGCGCATCAGGTTTCCCTTAACCTCAAGGATGTGAACTGACATGACCCTATTCATCTAAGGTTCTGGGACTGGCTAGGGTTTGTTGTGTAGCGTCATGCTTATCACTTCAAGGTTCTACTTTTTGGGCTGAATCTGGCTGCTCAGATTTTTATCAGCTCTGGGCGGGATAGTGATTCTGTTATGCTTGTTGGAGGTTCATGTCTTGGCCTACCATGACAACTGGCTTGGACCCTCCAGCCAGTCCATGTGTCAGCTGGCAAGGGATTTGGTTCTTTTCCCTGCTTGCCAAGTTTGGATTCCTGGTGAACTGGCGGAAATCTCGGCTGGTTCCTTGCCAGGTTCGGATTTGGTTGGGCCTAATTTGGGTTTCCTTGTTGGCATCCCTTTTTCTGCCTCCAATAGTTCTGCTCCACCTGCACCAGCATCACCGTCTAATATCAGATCAGTGTCAGGTGAGTTATCGGTTGGTCAAGGGTTGTGCAAGAACCTGAACTTTTTCTGAGAGTGGTGTTTACCTCTGGAGAGGGTTTGGCTTTGAATGCAGTACAGGTTCCTCCAGTTCCACCTATTTCACTGGTGCAGGGACCCTCAGGTTTGAACCCATCTTTCCCTTTGTTTGCACTTGGTTTACCGTCTTCCTCTTCAGGCTATTTTTTGGGGGCTCGGTTCTGTGGTGCCATCTTCCACCATCACTCAATGTGTTCATGGATGCCTTAGATCTGGGTTCATGGCTACAGTAGGTAGTGACTTGGCACTTGTTTTTTTTTTTGTTTTGAGATATATACAAGAGTTGTTACATTCTTTTACAGCCACTAGTACGCGTAGCGTTTCGGGCAGGTCCCTGGAATAGGATTCCCGCCGCGAAGAATCGTTTTTACAACCAAGTACACATTTTACTGTTGAGTTAAACAGAGGCTACAGTTAAGGATTTGCGCCCAGTAAATCCTCCCCGGCCAGGATACGAACCCATGACAAAGCGGTCGCGGAACGCCAGGCGAGTGTCTTACCACTGCACCACGTTTCGCCTGTGTGTGTCTCTTCATTGTATGTCGGTGGTCTCCATTCTTGTAGTTCTGTCCTTTTGGCATTAGCAGTGAAGCTGTTGCTTGCATTCAGAGTTGATGCAGCTTTGACACTATTTCACAAGTTGTCTCAAGCTTTGTTTTATCTCCAGCCAGCTTAAGCTTCTTAGTTGCTTGACAAGGTCTTGATATTTCTTTCCTCCTTTTAGTTCATGGTTACCCCTTTGGTCTGGGAACTTTTCCCTAATCCTTCCGCTGAGCGAGTCATACTGGGATGATTTAATATACTGCATAAGATTTAAAAGCCCCACATATCTTGAGGTTATCTTGAGATGATTTCGGGGCTTTTTTTTTTTTTTTTTTTTTTTTAGTGTCCCCGTGGCCCGGTCCTCGACCAGGCCTCCACCCCCAGGAAGCAGCCCGTGACAGCTGACTAACACCCAGGTACCTATTTTACTGCTAGGTAACAGCAGTAAACTGTTACATGAGGCTTGCGTTTACTTCCTCAGGCCTCCAGTAAACGGGCTGCTTCCTGGGGATGTTTAACGAAAGGAGACCTGGTCGAAGATCAGGGTGCGGGGACGCTAAGCTACGAAATTATCTCAAGATAACCGCTTCTGGGTGTGAGGGCCTCAGTATTGAGAGTGTGACCATAGGCGGTGAATGCTGCACCAGCTCACAGCACTGCTGGGCACCTTGTGCCATCAGCATCAATTATGAATAAATAAATAAATAACTGAGATTATTTTGTGATGATTGTGTCACTGAAGATCCTGTGATTATAGAGGATACTTGTACATAAAAGACTATGTACAAGGTTCAGATATCAGTAAACACAATGCTGGTTATGATATTGCAAGGCAGACATTCACAGCACACAGCTGCGGCCTCATGCAGTTACACATCATGAATAAATGTTCATTTTCAAAATAAACTTGTGGAAAATTATTCATATTCATCATTTAGTGTTCAGGAATCTGACGATAATAGCAGTGTGTTTAGAATTAGTGATGTGCATAGTAAATCATGACATTTTACTTCATCATGTTGCGTCGTCTGCTGGCATCATCAGATGGTAGTGTACTATGTGGTGCTATGCTGTGCTTCAATTTCATTACCACATCCACCACAACTGCATATGGAGCATAAATATGTAGATAGTTATATATATAACATGTATATGATGAACAAATCCACAAGAGCTTTGATGAGGGTTTGAACTTATGCTCTGGATGTTCCCAGACGCGCTCTAGTCAACTGTACCACGACATGGTAAAAGAATAGCAACCTGGAGTGCTGCTGCCCTCACGAGGATTCCGAGGCTTCCACTGAAGCCTAACCAGAAATAGAGGTAATATAGCTATAATATTACCTATAGATAGGTAATTATAAAATATAGAAGCTTCAGTGGAAGCCTTGGAATCCTTGTGGGAGCAGTAACACCCCAGGTTGCAATTCATTTACCATGTTGTGGTACAGTTGACTAGAGCGAGTCTGGGAACATCCAGCACATAGGTTCGAACCCTCATCAAGGGCCTTGTGCATTTGTTTATTTGATATATCGTTATTGTGATGTCTGTGTGTATATGTATATGGTGTAATAACAGCAATAATTGTGTGCTTTGTTGTTCAAAGAATATAATATGATGTGCTTATTAGTGATATGAAAATATCTGTGCATATCTCTGATGTATATGTTCTGTAATTACCCAAGTGCAATTATAGGATGAGATCTACGCTCGTGGTGTCCCGTCTTCCCAGCACTCTTTGTCGTATAACGCTTTGAAACTACTGATGGTTTTGGCCTCCACCACCTTCTCACCTAACTTGTTCCAACCGTTTACCACTCTGTTTACGAAAGTGAATTTTCTTATAATTGTTCGGCAGTGTTGTTAAGCTAGTTTAAATTTATGACCTCTTGTTCTTGAAGTTCCAGATCTCAGGAATTCTGTAATACAAATAACATTACTGACAGCCCATTGCATCATTTTACTTGAAAAACCAGTGTTGAATGTAATGAAATGCCAATTTCTGGGTGAGCCCCGGAGGCTACCTGGAGCCATCACACTGAATAAGTGCAGTACTTAGTACCATCAGTTGCAGAGTTCTGTTGGCCTACCAGCAATCATGAGTCAGAACCTGGCCCTTCCTCAGAAGCGCAGGGAGCGATGGCTTATGAACACTTTACATTTATTGTTTGTCATCTTTGCCATCATCCAAGGAAAGGCACCCAGAAAGATAGGCAAATAAAAACAGATTACTGCATGGTTAAAAAAAAAAAAAAAAAAAAAAGTCCATTGCCAAAAGATTGCCAAAAGATCTCCCCAACAAGGAAAACAAACCAGCAAAATTTCATTAAACTAGCAATGGCTAGTTTGCCCTCACCTTCCTCTTCATTTGGGGAGGAGGAGTGAGGTGGACCAGGTGAGCCGGGCTCCACCACCATCAGTTCAATACTGATGGCTGTGCCTAGTAGTTATCATCACTCTGGCTCCAGTCTTCAATTTTTGTAATTGGTATTTTGCCTTTTATGTTGTTTTATTACTTGGGAGTGAAAATGAGTCAGGAGTTTAGTGTCCTGGGTCACTCTTTCCCAAGGAAGGAAGGAAGGTACTTGGTGTCAAATATCTCTTCTTTCCTGGTGAATATTAGATC